TGTAGCTCTTTTTCAAATAAATATTTTTACTAGTACTAAGTCTTAAAATACAGTTAAAAGATACCATAATATGTGTATAAATTTTTGGATCAATAAATTTAAAAGGTTTCTCAGAAAAAATTCTGGAAAATTCACTTTTTTTCGGCCGTCTAACTGTATATAACCCCTTAATAAAAGAAAGTTCCAATTCCGTTACTCATTGGAACCCAACCCAATTCATATATTAAATATATATATATATATATATTGAGTATGTAAGTACACATAAACGATACCTGCATTAATAATAAATACAATTGTTTCGCAACTAAACGTAAAAAAGCGTGTATAGCATTCGTCATCTTCTTTTTAGCTTGTTTTCGCTTGGAGAATTCAATTAACGTGTTTTCACACGCGACACATTATTCTTATTGTTAATAATAGTGCGTTAGTATATCATTGCGAAAATTGACACGAACGTCTTTCTTTGCTTGTGTTGTGTGTGTGTCTATTTCTTCAAGTATGTTTTTTTTCCTTTTCTTTTTAGTCTCTTCGTTTCTTATTCCACTTTTTTTTTTTTTTTAATCTCTTTAGATCATGCTTCTCGTTTATGCCCGGTCAACGGCGTCTACGTATCTATTACTTAGAATTAGATCAATCAAACTAAATCGTCATTGATCTAGTTTTTCCCTTTCTTCTCTCCAAATTTTTCTAATACTTCTAATTTATATTGTACATAATCTTCATAAATCAAATTTTATTTCAATTCTGTTTGCTTTTTTACTTTATTTTATATTCACCGAAATTACTTCTTATCTGTGTTTGTTATACGAATAAATGTTTGGATAGTTTAATGAAATCTTACGATACGCAGTGAAATGAAATTATGTGATATGCGTAATAATTAGTTCATTGATATTTTTTTTTGAACGAAATATAAAACTCATGAGGTCAAAATAAATAAATCTAGTTTTTGAATTGTCATACATTTTACTATTGACTTTTAAATGTAAGCTTAAATAATTTTTTCTATTACGATAAAAAAAAAAATAAAAGACAATAGGAAAAAATTATTATACAATTTACATCATTATTCTCGATAAACATATATAAAATTTTTGGTATATGTTGTATTGTTGTATATGTAGTTTGTATATGTTGTAATTTTGTTCGAAACATTTTTTGATATTTAACGTACATTTGAAGAAATAATTTATTAGTCGCACGTATGAATAAATCGTCAAGTATAACATAGAAGATATTGAGAGAAATTATTTCGATTAAATAATAATTACAATCATAATATTACAACGACAAAAAAAAGAAAAGAAGGATTTATTAGCTAATGATAAATAAAATTTGGTCTTATCTATGTGTCTATCAAACGTATATGACATAACTGAACAATTATTATTTTTATTATTATTATTATTATTATTATTATGTCATTAAATACGATTACGCATAGGGGGTGGGGGAAATAATTGGTTTAAAAATTATCCTCAATTATTGATAGTCAATAAGTATGAGCTAAGAAATACACAATAGATTACACAATTGGTTTCATAAAAGAAAAAATAGAACGAAATAATCGATTATGTTGATATCATCAAACGTATGCCGTAGTAATCGATAATAAACATTTCTATAATATTTCTTTGAAAAGAAAGTACGAATCGGATTCTTTCGAGACAATTAAATGGGTCATTTGGTATACATATATATATACGTAAAATATATATCAATGCGTTCAATGCAATCCATTACCTTTCTCTTCAATAAATCGTTAACCGTTTAACATTACAATGAACAATACTAATAATAATAATAATGAAGTAAATAAACATAAAAATATAAATATTAAATGATCACATTACCGAGTATCTCGTCATTTTCTTGGCATCGTTAGCAAAATTAGTTTTGCTCTTCTGTTCGATGTTAGACTCCCCAATTATGGTTGTCTTGGACAACGTGTTTGCCAAAACGGTCTCCATGATTGATGAACTTTTTACTTTTAGTTTTAATTACTTTTATCTAATAACGAATACGCGCGCGTATTAAATGAACGATCAAACTATTTACTTATATTTTGTATTAATTTTACGTTTTCTTTTTTTTTTCTTTTTGATTTTTGGAAAATTGATTATAGTACGGATAAAAGTTGAAATGAAAAAAAAAGAGAGAAACAAATTTCAATTGAATGAAAATTGATGAAAACAAAAATTAAAAACGTTTGATTATTTTGTTTGTTTGTGTTGGTTATTAAAAATAATAAATACGATTTGTTATTCGTTGTAATATACGTCGACAACGACAACGACTACAACAACGACAACGACACCGACAACGACGATGTTGCCGAGGTGGTAATCTAACACTGTGCTTTGTGATAGGACGTCCTCCTTTCTTATATAGACGCTCGGTAACGAATGGCACAAGAACTGTTCTTGCAGGTTCAGGGACAGATACGGAACTATGAATGCAGTTTAGGATGCCCAGATCGAGATTCATGCCAATGTCATTTGCATTATGATATCTAAGGATCCTAAGTATTATAGGGTGTCCCATTTTTTTTTATATCCTAGTACAATAAGATCTAAATAAATTATTATCATTACAAAATTAAAACTAATATTATTATTTGATTGGATTGTAATGTAATATATTTTTTATTTTGTTAGTTAGCATATAAAAAGGATATACATAATGTATTATTTTCATCTTGGTAAAATAGGGGTCTTTATGAATTATTATGATTCATAAATTATAAAAGCAACATTTTCTTATTGTAACATTATCATATTGGTTTGTAATGTAATATATTTATATTACTATTAATAATAATATTTATATTATTTTTTAATATTATATTTCTCTTGTTAGTTAGCATTCAAAGGATATATAGGATGTATTATTTTCATTTTGGTATAACAGGAGTCTTTACGAAGTATTAGGATTCACAAATTATAAAAGCAATATTTTCTTATTGAAACATAATTATATTAGATTGTAATGTAATATATTTATATATTTCCTCTTGTTAATTAGCATACAAAGGATATAGTGGGTGTCTTATTTTTATTTTGGTATAACAGGAGTCTCAATAAAGTATTATGATTCACAAATTATAAAAGCAATATTTTCTTATTGCAACATTATCATATTGAATTGTAATGTAATATATTTTTTTCTAGTTAATTAGCATACAAAGGATAATACAAGGTGTCTTATTTTCATCTTGGTATGACATGGTATAACATTATTACGATTCTAAAATTAAAATCAATACTATTATTGGATAATAATGAAATATATTTTTTCTTGTTATTTAACATACAAAGGTTATGCAAGGTGTCTTATTTTCATTTTAGGATAACAGGTGTCTAAACAAATTTTATGATTAAATGTAAGAAACAAATGATATTGCTTTTTTTTAACAAATATCAGTCCCATTTTATTTCTAATAAAACGTAAAGAAAAACACCCAGTATATGTATACGGATGTGAATAGGTAAATAAAAAATTGAACGGAAGAGAATGTGATAAAAAACCTCAGTCAATGGACGATGATCGGATTAAATTATAAAGTTTTTATTTTTTGAAGGTGTTTGTTATAAATTAGGTGCGTGCAAGGAAAAGTTATTGCGATTTCACGAGGTTACAATCTTTTTAAGTATTATTTTATTTATTATATCGATGTATGCGTTCTCTCAAGACTATAGCATACCTCGTTTGAAGTTTAAAGGACACTTATATATTAGACAAACCTACGATTTAATACTTGTGTACCTAATCTATATATGTACATAAGTATAACGTAAGTATTAATTCATATGTATGTATATGTAAGTACGTATGATGCATGTATATATGTATACATACACGTGTAAATAGAAACCTAAGATTTGTATGCTTGTATGTGAAAGTAAGTTAATACAATGCATGTATATATATTTCTAAATAAGAACATATATGTGAGATGTTAATATAAATGTAGATCTATTTATGTATTGCATGTTCATACATCTGTCTTGAGTATGCAATATTTCTTTATACGAAAGTATAAGAAGAAATTACACGTATAAATATATGTGTGCGAATTTGTGATATAGATAGAAGAGACATACATAAAAATTAAAAGCATGTATCTTATCGATCGTTCCGTATACTTTATAAGGACGTTATTGCAGACATTAACATTAATGCAAGGAGAAAACCTTTATTATATTTTAATATCGATTGATACGAAATGAATGACCTAACTATACTAAGGATTTAGTTTTTTTTTCTTTAAATAGGTTTAACATTGAAATAAAAAGTATTCAATAACAAAACGATATATCAATATTACGTATCGAGTATTATTAATATGTATAAATATGTTTTTTAAGATAATTCGAGATCATTCAAAGAATATATATAGACAAATAGCAGTTAAATTAACGTAGCACATGATGAATATTGAAAAAAAACATAATAATGACAAATTATTAATTATCTAACTATTGATCACGTGACAATAGTAGGTAGATATGTTATATAGTAGGTATATGTATATACATATATACCTTGAAAGATAATGTCTTTGATAGGCGTATCCGTTTGAAAATTATCCTAGAAGCTTTACGTTCACGTAAGATGAATCATTTTGGATCGAGGATATAAGTGATCTTGTGAAAGCTTTGATCCTTGAATAAATCTTTGATATTAAACTAAGATGAGATAATTTATATTCGAGGGATTTATCTAAGATGGTTTGAGATCAAACGTGACTTTGGTGAAAGATAAATAAATATATCCGTTATTTTCGTATTTTCACAAAAATTCAATTTTAATCTAAATAAATAGTTTCTATATAAATATCTTATAAATCAAACAATCAATCAACCGATTGATCGATAGATATTTTTCTTTTTTTTAAATCAAACGTAAAAAATAGTCCAAGTAGTCGAGATTTGTGATAATAATTGCAGAATAGATATACATGATAAAATAACAAAATTAGATATACGTTGTTTCTTCGAAAATGATCGAAGAAACGAAGAAAAAATATTTATTGGATGACGAATAATGAAATAAAATCGCGATAAGGATTAAATTCATCGTTTTTTTTTTCAAATCAAAATCGATCTCCACCTCTCTTTAATCGAATAAACAATTATTAAAATATAAAAAATTAATAACGTTTAATCAATATAATTCAAAGAAATAAAAAATAAAAATAAGAGAAATGTATAAATAAAACCGACCACTTGTTTTAAATCGAGCATTAAAAATATGAAAAAACAAACAAAAACAAATGTAACAAACTTAAAAACAGAATTGGACAAAAAATATTGTCAAAAAAAAAAAACAAAAAAAAACAAAAAAAATATATATATATATATTAGGGTGGGTCAAAAAAATCAATTATTTTTTTTTTTACAAGTGACACGGAAAAATGGGATACTAGACACCTTAAAAAAATTCTCACCAAATATGAGCTCTTAATTTTAATAGGAAGATCCTCCGCATCGCAATTTTTTATTTTTTTCTCAGTCCAA